ATTTATTGACTTCTATCTTTTTAATATAACGATACAATAATCTAGGCTTTGGCTTTACCTGGAGAACTCGCGATCATGCAAAATCAAGCGTTAGAATGCTCTCTGCAAAATGTAACAGCGTCATCCGACGCAGATAAACGATTAAAAGAGCTTGAAGGAAAAGAAGTATTGATTATGGTGGAAGAAGTCAATAACAATAGGTGTGTACACTTTGCTTAATGATTGCAAATATAAAAATGCAAGTTTTTAATTTTTAAATGTTAATATCTTTTGTTCATATAGACTTATCGTAAAACTGTATGATCTTCTTGGAAATGGAATAATGAATACGGAAGAGAAAATTGAAAAGATATCACCCATATATTTGATGCCTATTCTAAGTTCTACTCACAAGGTGTCTGTATCGTATCTGGAGAATTCTACCAACATCTGGTTGCAACGGTCCTCAGAGCTGGAACTCAATGCCAGATTGTTGAAAGATCTCGAAAAATATTACACTAATTTTGGACAAAGATTGAAACCAGAAGTGCATCTATTGTGCGCGGCCAAATGTTTGGAGGACGGAAATTGGTACAGGGCAAGAATCGTCGACTATACCGAAACGACTGTCTATGTACATTATATTGATTACGGCAATATCGAGGAAATTTCTCTGGAATCGATCATGGTTTTAGAATCGCAGTTTTATGAACCTCACCAGTTAGCGATAAATGTATCGTTATCGATAGCTCTTATCGGTACTGAGGCCGAACAACTAAACCTACTGCAAACTCATTTGATGAATAAAGAATTCACTGCTGTCTTTTATAACGTACACAAGAAATGGATTGTCGATTTGATCGAAAATGAGGAAAAACTCAGCGATAAATTCCGTTCGCTAAATCTATTGAAAGAAGAACAAACAACGCCTAAACTATCAGACTCTCAAACTCACGAAGCGTCAACAATCGACAAATTTAATGTGTGCGTATCTCACGTTGATTCTCCGAGTCAGTTCTGGTTGCAACGAGTAAATGAGATCACGTCTCTCAATGAGAAACAGGAACAACTTCAATTGGAAGTGTCTAATTTTTCGACGATAGACTGTATACTAGAAGAAGGTACCTTGTGCGTTGCTACTTATTCGATTGACAATCTCTGGTATCGCGCCGAGGTATTGGATGCAGATGAGGACATTACAACGGTTCGATTCATAGACTACGGTAATACAGACGTAATTAATAATAAGACAGATAATATTCGACAAATATCGGACGCTTGGAAAAGCTTAGAGAGATTCGCACTGAAATGCAGACTCGATGTTATTCCTGTAAATACGGAGGATTGGAGCGAGTCGACTTGCGAGAGATTCGAGTATTTAGTAACGTCCACAGAAACTCTTCAGGCTCTAACAGTAGCGGATACTGTGCCTAAACGTGTAGAGCTGTTCATAAACGACAAGAGCGTCAGCGAGATGTTGGTCGAGGAAAAGCACGCTATTATAATTAACACCGAGCAAGAACCAGTGGACGAGATAGTCGATCTCGAGCTGGATCCTCATTCCGCTTTCGTGTGTCATATCAATTCGACGAGTGAGTTTTGGGTTCAGGAAGAGAAATCAGTTGCTGATTTGGAAGTGATGGCGGACAGATTCATAGTCGCCGATATGTTCCCGAAGATCGACGATGTGAAGGAGGGTTTGCTGTGTGTCGCCAAATATCCAGAGGACGAACAATGGTACAGGGCACGCGTAATCTCTCACGATAACAACGGGAACACACAAGTCATATACATAGACTACGGAAATTCCGCTGTGTCCACTGAGATCCGCGCCATTCCAGAAGATCTGGCGAATACATCGCCTCTGTCACGCAAATGCTGCTTACAATTGCCACCGCAGATCAAGGAATGGTCAGAACAGGCTCACGAAGAATTCGTCAAGTTGGCTGCGGATGGTGCGACCATTTTCCTGTTAGACGTTTTGAAGGACGAGGAGACATCACTGGTGAAGTTAACATTGGACGGCCAGAACATCGCCGATATTCTTGCGAGTATGTGCGAGCAACATTTACCGGTTATTGAGGAAAGGCTACCACCGCTAGGCGAGGAGAATTCGCCGAACGTGGTAGTCAGTCATATCAACAGCCCGAATGAGTTTTGGATCCAAGCCGAGAGTAGTATAAGCGAACTAGAAGTGATGTCGGATCGTTTGCGAGACGCAGAGAGTTTCCTCGCTTTGAACAACCTCGACATCGGCACAATCTGTGCCGCTCAATATCCAGAAGACGGATGTTGGTACAGAGCAAAAATAATCGCACGTTGCGAAACAGGCACAGAAGTCTTGTATATGGATTACGGCAATTCTGCGGTCACAGAAGAATTGAGAATATTGCCGGAGGATATTGCGAATATTCCCATTTTGTCGAAACGATGCACGCTCGAAAAGCCAAGCCGCATTGCTGCGTGGAGCGAGGAAGCTTGCGATAAGTTCAAAGAACTTGCTGCTGATGGAGCCACTATGTTCGAGTTTGAGAATCTTGATGAGGACGATCCGATGCACGTTCGATTAAATCTTAACGGGACGAGCGTTGTTGATCTTCTATTGACTGGATTCGAAAATATTCCTCCGGAAATTGAAGAAATAACCGAAAAAATTCCAGAAATTGAAGAAATAACCGAAAAAATTGCAGTACAAAATTGCAGATTTCTTACAAATCTTCTTTTTTTATTTTTATTTTTATTTCTCGTTTTTTTCTGATGTTTATATAAATATATATTATATATATATACAAAAACTATATCGCTGTACACGCGCTATGTATGGTGATCACGTTTTGTTTTTTTCTCTTCTGTTTACACGCGACACAAATCTGCTGCGTTTCCTATGAAAATTTTTCCTATATATTGCCGCTATAATGCACATATTAGGCCATCAAGTATGCGACCAAAGATTAATTCATCTAATTGACGACTCACTTTATATTTACGTTATATTCTTTTTTATGTTTTATGCTAATACTCGCCTGTGATACCAAATAATGATCACAATTTTTCTTAATATTCATAATTTTTTTAAGTTGCAATAAATTTGATAACAGACTTTGCTTTCAGTTTCCAATAATTGAATTTCTTTACGTAACTCTTTATTGCAAATTATATACAACGTGTAATATATAACAGGCTGCTTTTGTGACTAAACAAGATATAAGCAAAGTAAAACTAAATGTTTTATTTGTTTGACACATATCTTCATTACATTACACGCATAACGTAACTGCGACAACTTTTTAAATATTATTAAGGACTAAAATACAATGATAACTTCTAATAACTTCTTTATGCGAATACATAATTATATAAAAAAAAGCAAATAATATTTAGAAATTATTACTTTTATAACGTAATTACATAGCATAAGCTATATAATATCGAAACGTGATTGTACTGCAACAAATTCAACTGAGTATTGTAAAAAGATGGAGAAAAAAAAGCTGCATTCTTCGCGTCGTAACTACGTTATGTACATTTTCCATATGTACCGAAATTATGTATCGCTCCAGAAATTGAAGAAATAACCGAAAAAATTCCAGAAATTGAAGAGATTATTTCTATTACAAAAGAGAAACAAGAAACAGTTTTCCACGAAGATCACGAACTAGTAAATAACAATGAAGAAACTTCAAACTTAGATAAGGAAGCTCAACAAGAACAAACATTCAATCAAACAGATAATATAGATTGCATTAACGAAACAGAAAAGCGTGAAAACGGAATTGACAAAGAAGTGTTTAATGAATCCTTTATAAATTCTGATATAAATGAGGAAAACAAATATAATAAAGAACAACCGAAACATAATAAGAGCGTGGTTGACATCGAGGAAAAAAGCAATGAAAAATTTGAAATTATGGTAGCTGAGTGTACCTCAAGAATGGAAGAAATATCAGAAGATATTATAGTCAAAACGAATAAAGATGTAGATATTGCCAAGAATGAAACGATTTCTATAAACGCAATTATACCTACTACATCATGTTCTGAAGAATCCTTATTTCCTGTAACGGAGCTTAGTATTGATGAGATAGTTGGAAATATGATACAAGATGCCATTGAGAATGTTGAATCGCGAAAAATCGATCATACAAACTTATCAATCGCAAATGAAACGCAATTACCTGATGTCGCGCAAACTGACAAACAGCAAGAATTACTATCTCAAATGCAATCTATAGATACAAATAAATCTCCAAATACACAAATTTTTGAAGTACATGCGATAAAAGATGTAGAGGATCTGAATTCGAAGATTCCGAAAATTTCATCAGTAACGAGTGAATCGCAATTTCAGAATGTCGTGCAACTTGATACTAGTCAAATCGAGGAACATTCTGTGGTACAGCCTGGTGTAAACGAATCTTTGAACGACTCTCCAATTTTAGAAACAATATCATGCTTGTCAAAAGAAGAAATAAACTTGGAGCAGACACCAGATCCAATAAAAAGCGAAACTATTCCTGAAAGCATAAACAAGAATAATGATTTAGAAACTCAATCCGAGAGTACAGGTACGGATAATGATTCAAACACTTCCTCAGGATCGATGTGTACGGTAAAAATGGCGGAATCGACGCCGTACGTAATTAAGACTGATTCAGCTGAGCAGTACAATTATTCGAAAAGACGATCAGAAGACAAGATAATTCCCGGATGTGTCTCCAGAGGCGAATCACCCAGCGATTCGGAAGCTAGAAAGCGTCCTGCAACACCAAAGACACCATATTCGGAGAAACTCGTGGCTGGAGCTGTGAATCCCTTTATACAATCAGTCCCTGATAGCATGAACAAAGAAGACGAAATACTTGTAGTTTCTGCAGAGTAAATGTAGCGGACATGTACTGCATATGTGTATATAGATATATAACGTATATACATTTGCAGTACAAAATTGCAGATTTCTTACAAATCTTCTTTTTTTATTTTTATTTTTATTTCTCGTTTTTTTCTGATGTTTATATAAATATATATACATAAGAATCATATATTACTCTATAATTCCCTTTACTTCTTCCTACAATTTTGTATATTAACATTAATATAATATGTTACGATTATAATATATACGATACAGTAGGTAATAGGTGAAGCTGTATAAATATTTGTATTCTGCTAAAATATTTTTTCTAATAAATATTTCACACAAAATATATACCACGCGTCGCATTTATCCATGCATTTAATTAAATTCGCAATTTATAACAATATTACAAATTTGTTTTATTGTCAATATTTAAACCTTCAAACATTTTATTACAATATTTTTAAATTTGCAATGGATTTCTTCAGACTAACTTTTCCAATATTCAATTATCCTGTGTAAATTTCTATTTTGGAGTAATCTTTCGCAAATTTCTTCTCTTAATGCGTCTTTTACGTTCTCTTGCTTCATTAAAGATATTAATTAAAATATAGATGATTTGCAATTGTAATAATATAAATACATCTCAATTGTATACATTTGCAATAATGCTAAAAATATTATTTTTAAATCTTTTAAAATTTTATTATACATTACAAAAAAAAAAAAATTCACGATGCTATGTAAAATCAAATATACATGTTACGTGAGAGAGAAAATCCAAATTCCCAAATTTATATAATTCAACTTTTTCATATTTTGAAATTTATGGAGGGATAGTAAGTAATAGACTTCACCTTTTTGTCTGGCAATCATCAGATTTCTTTTCATACTCATGTTGTAATTATCTTGTCTCTTTTTAGCAAAGAATTCACGCGCGAGCGCAATTTCATCCTCCAAGTACCATTGCAAAGGACTTCTACATCGCTTAGAACGTCCCAAATAAGCCATACCTTTAGCTTCGAGAATTCTTAGTTGAATGGGATATGGTAGCCGACCGGTGTCTTGAACACGGAACTTTATCGCGGGTCCACCATTGTTCAGGATTACGTTCGTCAAGGAGGACACGAAGGGCGGATTTCGCATATCGTAGCGTTTCTCAGGATCTTGAAATTTCTCTTCGCAACAGAATCCGTACGGTTTCTGCGGCAGCTGCGCACGTGGCAGTCTTGCGAGGATTCGTTTGCTCGGTACTTTCTTCATCTTATCGCAATTTTCTTCAATCAATTGTATATTGCATATTTTAAGATCCTTAATTATATCCTTTATTCGAATATATACGTTCTGTTTCGAAGAATCATGTTGATTGAAGAATTATATTATTAATTGCAATTTTGTGAAATATTTTTTTGATTTTAGTGTTAATGAAAAACAATTGAGAGAAGTCTAATCATATACTAAATGAAAAATATTTAATTATGTTGCTATTGGAAAAGCTTCTTATTTAATTATTCTTATTTCTTATTAATCTTCCTTTTTTGACCTCTGTGCCTATATTTTTAGAAACGCATTATATATATTTTTTTATTTTAAAAAACCATTAAAAATGAAGATAATAAATTCCAGTCAAATTTAAATTAATATAAAGGTTTTGTATATGAAAGACAGCTTTTATATATAAAAAAAAACTAGCTAAAATATATCGAGAACTTTTTCAAAAAGAAGAGATATTTTGGATAATTCTAAATTTCTTTATTAATAAAGTAATTAACCCGATTTAATACATGAAATGATGATCTTATGTTTTATCAATATGAAATTTCAAAATTTTAAAAATTTGCCTGTGGTTAGGATGAGTTCGAAAACCTATTCGTCATTTGATTGACCAATCAGAAACCTTTTTGCCTTAATTAGCCAATCAAAAAGAATTGTACTCCGAGGAATGGATTTTCGAACGCAATTTTGAGATGAAATGGCGTAAAATTTCGAATTAATGCGTTTCTCTTGTGTCTTTAAAAAATTCTATCTTTATTTGTAACACATGTTTTATAACATTGACGTGTGTGTTTTGTATAAAAAGTGTACACGACTAATTCTACACAAATATCATGCAGTATTATGGAGTTCTCATTGAAGATTAGGTTAAGTTAATATTGTGACAAGATGCAAACGTGACTCGATCCACAATTTGAATTATGAATTCGTCCACCTTGTCGCCGAGCACTCTAGGACACTCAACAGGACAGAGAACACCGGAATCACAGGACTCGGAATTGACTTCCAGTGCGACTCAAACATCCAAGATTCTAAATCAGATGAAAGCTGAGTTACAGGAGCAGAAGCAACGCAAACAATTCCTCAAGGAGCTGCATGCCAAGCGTGTACAATCCTTACGAAAGGAACTAGATTATCTTAAGGCGACAGAGTGGAGATATCAGCCCATAGATCGGTAAATGTTTCTTTTTTTAATTTTATATGAATTATTTACAATTTATCAAATACAAATTGCTTAGATTTTATTTATTTACATCTACAGATACTTTGATAGGAGCCAGAGAAATTAAATATGTTGTCGTTAATCTATAATGGATTAAGAAATGCTCTAAACTATATGTATTTGGGTAAAGTAAAGGAAGAAAACATAGATGAGATTATATCTCGCATAGAGCATGCAAAAGAAGATGCAGAAGTGGATGCGGGGGAAAGTAAGAATATAGAGGAAAAAAAAACACTGAGCAAAGAAGGATGTTATTACAAAACAGGATATATTACTTATGTCGCTAAGGATCATGTTCTCATAGATGATTGCTATACGTATGAAAAAAATGATGATTTTACCAGCAATCTGAAAGTAGGTGATAAAATTTATTACTTGGTATATCTGCGAGATCCGAACGCGGAGCCGAAAGTACGAAAAATTATCTATGTGATAGATGACATTTGGAATAATGCAAACGGCAAATCAGAGGAAGACATAGTTCACACTCGTATGATACGAAGAAATGTAATTGCCAAAGTAACGAAACGCGAAGGCCGAATCGCCGTTGTTGAGCCGAATAATATTCGTATTGACTTAAGCAAAGTACAATCCGACTTTATTCCTGTGATCGGCGATTGGTTAACAATAGAGTCTTTGGTCGAACTAAATAACAATTCCACAGATTTGAGTGGTGAAGTCTTAGAGGTGGATAGAATCAAATCGTTACGATCTAAACTAGACGTTGGAGTGATATCAAAATATGATCCACAAAACGAAGTGGGAGTAATCGATAAGCATGTGATATTTCATAAACGCGCGTGTGAGCCAGGTTACGTTCCTCGCGTTGGTGATAAAGTGGTGAGTGATAGCATAGAAAGCGATCAAGGACAGTACAGTTGGAGATCAATAACCATTGTTCCATTAATTCAGGCAAGAGAATTTTTATTATTTTTAAGTTATTGTGTCATATTTTATATATATATAT